GCACTTCCTAGCTGTGTGACCCTGACTTCTGTTTGCCTTAGTTTCCTCAACTGTAAAATGGGAATAATAATAGCACCTATCCTCCCAGGGCTGTTATGAGAATCATATAAGATAATACTGCATTTGTAAAGTGCTCAGCACAGTGCCTGATATATAGTTGGTGCTATATAAATGCTTATTCCCTTCCCTTGTGGACTGCTTCCCACTAGAATGCTTCAAAGGTTGAATGAGCACTTTGAGTATGATGTAGAGGGAATTCTTGTTTAGGTACAAATTGGACTAGATGTCTTCTGAGGCTACTTCCAGCCCTGAGATTGTGAGGTTGTGAGTCACTAATGCTAACTTGACCATTTACTTCCTATGAAACCTTGGGGGCAAATCTCTTAACCTCAACCTCAGTTTCCCAATATGTTGCCTCCCCCTTCCTGCCCCCCCCGCCGACAACAGATGTTGGTCTCAATCCATGAGCATTAGAGCTCTAGAACTGGTGTCTTTGAGAGGCTGTGGAAACCCTCCCTTCCCAAGAACTTAGAGCAAAACACACTTCAGAGGGCTCATGGAAGGGAGATGAGGCATCTCATCAGATCCTTTCATTCCGTTCACATTACAGAGACTGCATGGGAGGCAAGTAAGGGGCTCCTGTGCTTTCTTCTTTTGTGACTAGGCAGGAAGGCCCAGGCATCCACACCAAGGTCACTTTGGTGATGAGCCAAGGTCACGTTGGCTGAGAAGCAGCCAAGCTCACCTTGAGACATCTGAGTGGGGAAGAGCAGAGGAGTCATTCAGAACAGCAAAGGGAGCTTCTTGGTAATGTTCTCCTGGTAAAAGGACGTTGCAGAGGGAATGTTTCTTCTATCATGGCTTATAAATATCTAAATTCCTTCTGGTATACACAGCATTGTCTCTGACCATAAAGTAACAGATCATCATCTTGTGTAGTCCTGGAGGATGGGGTCGTGAAATAAGGTGTACAAAACTATTGGAACCTTTTCTATAAACTACCTTGTTGGTTACCGTGGATACTGACAACACAATGCTTGTTTGGGCTAATGAAAAATCTATCACTCTGATAAAGGCTGAGCTGTTTCTGACAACTGTGCATTAAATTAATCCTGCCATTCTTGACAGTCAATTTTAACTATGTAGATTTTCTTGTAGATAATTTTTTAAATGGTGACAATTAATATTTTATGTTTTTATCATGAGGCAATCCAGAATATTATCAGCAAACATACCAAACTTAACTTACTAGCAGGCCGCAAACATGGGCTGTCTGTGAGAACCACCCTTAGTCCACTCTTCAGAATGGCCAGCCTGAATGTGAGGCTTCTGTCCCTGGTGAAGCTGGGTACATTCTACAGAGCGGAGCATGTCATCCAGGCCTGACCAGGGATGGGGGTTGGAGAAGCAAGGCCCACATTTCATTTCATTTCTCTGCATCACTGTTCAGACAGTCTAAACATATGCTTTAATGTGCATATATTCAGAGGAAGTTGAGACTATAGTAACCTGATTCCCCTCCTAAGATTTTTAGCCAAGTTCTTTGCATTTGCACACTGGGGAACAGAGTAAAATATTGCTATGTCGGATGTACACTGAGATCCCATCACATCAGTAACATCTCAGAGCAGACATCATTGATGTGGGAGAGGTCACCTGGAGAGTGCAAAGATGTCACTGGACTCTGGCCACCAGGCAATCAAACAGGAAGTATCATCTGTGAGCTCACTAGTGACAGCATATTAACACAGCCTTACTGGCAGAATTGGCATTCAATTGTTGGATAGGGTGGAGGGTTTTAAATACAAAAATATTCTGTAAAAATATTTAAAGGGGAATAATCATTTTGAAAAACTGTCATAATCCTGGTGATGGAGGGTTAGAGTAATGGGTAACAGTAAGATCAGAATTTAAAGACATCCTCAAATTCCTTCTCACAGATAACCAGGACACTTGGCTGGGAAAATGGAATAAGCAACTTCTCTAATGGCATTTCTGGGTGCCAGGCTTTCCTGCCTTTGAATGGGGTGAGCTGAGGGCTCAACCAGATTGGGTGGAGTATTTGGCTCGGGCTTCTTTCACCGTAGCCAAAGGACCTTTCTTAATTGTACTCCCAGGAAACACCTTGGAAATCACCTAGCACACCTCCCAAGGTTCATTTTTCAGAGGATCACAAACTTAAAAAAAAAAAGTACAAGCCATTAGGTACTGAATGAACTGGCATGTCTTTTGATAATCTGTCTAAAGTACTTTGCAAACCTTAAAAAGTGTATATAAATGTGAGACACTTTGTGCACCAGTTCTGAACAGCTGATCCATGTGCTTGTTTCTCTGTGGTCTGTAGGCAGTGGGAGCGGCCAGCGGTACCCAGTCTGAGGTGGTAGCCCTCTCTTATCCAGGCTGTATTCAAGACAGAAAATCACGAGTCAACCTCAGGGATTTCATCTTCTACTTGGAGCAGGAAAGAAAAACAAGCCACTCTCTTCTGCTCTATCAAGCCTTGCTTAAATAAAGCCAATCATTTCCCTAAATTCCTCAGAGGGAAACTCAGCTGAACATTTAAAATCTGTCATTTTCTTGTGCCTTCTCTTTTCGTTTTCTCAGATGTCAGGGTTTGGTTTATGTAAAAATTAAGATGCAATAAATCCTCCCAGCCAGAAACCAAAGCAAAAAAAATAAAACACAGAAAAAGAATGTGCAAAAGGTTTCTGAGTCCTGAAGCCTGTCTGTGCCTTAAGCACCTCCCTACCCCTCTGGGGCTGGGGCTCATACTTCTGCCAATGGAGGCTTTCCCCTAAGGCTGAACCCCATCTTACTGATTAACCATTGCCATGTCTGCCTTGGTTTCAGATATATTTTAATTGCAGCTTTGTACTGTTCTGAGCACATCCGCACTGGACTCCCTACAAACTGGGCACATCTAGGATAGGGGCTGGGTCCTCAACATGAGTCCTAGGCATTTGTAGTTGAGCTTTGTGTCTTCAGATCCAAGCTGAACTACCTTGATAACCCACCCCGACCCCCACCCCCAGTTGTTCTGTCATCTACACAACTTTTTGCACATTCCCAACAGGTGGTTAGTAACAGGAATCAAGAAGGGATGGTGTTTTAGGTATAAAATATCTTTTATTTATTGTGAGGAGTACAGGCTACTGGTTTTTAAAAGAACCGTTGAAGGATGGATATTAAAGTTGTGTGCATCGACTTTTAAAGTCACCGTCACACCAGGTGGCAGCATTCCTGTGTGAGCAGGACAACCATCCCCTTTGAGGGATGCTGTTGGAATGGTGAGAGGATTCCTTTGCTCAACCATCTTTTACATTTTTGACCATGTTTTGAGAGTGCCTCATTTGGGAGGCAAAGCTTTTTGAGGGAACAATAGTAAAAGCACAGACAGAACTTTGTCCAATAATTTTAAAAAAAGAATAATTGTTCTTAAGGTTTATGAAAAACAGGAGGCAAACTGATGTTTGCTATTTAGCCAAAAAATTATTCACAAGGTATTCAGACCAGTAAGTGTAAAAATATGTTTTAAATGTACTGATAATTTGTACATATCGTTTACAAAGTCCTTATGTTTATTAGAATTGTTATTTTGACAATTTCTGTACATTATTCAGAACACATTCAGTGATGTACAGTTACTTGTTCTCAATGATGATTTTGTATCACATTTTGTTATTTTACCCACTGATCAGAAACATTTTTGCATCAAAATATTAAGACAATAACCACAACATAATAACAACCCTCAAATCTATAGCGGTTGAAGTTCTGTTGTGCTTAAGTCTTTCTCTAGGCCAGATATGGTCTCACAAAACCACCAACACAGTTGGGTGCCAGAAAAGTCAAGGAAGACACACAGTGCTGCCTTCTCTGCAGCTCTCCATCCAATAAGCATGGCCTAATGTTCTCCATTCCCTTCTTCTCCTGTCAGATACTGGAGCCAAGAGATGGGAGGTATGGAAACCAGAGTTTTGTTGTTGAGTAAAAAGAAAATCCCAATAATTTTGTGAAGAAAATTAGATTTTTCTGAGGAATTTCAATTACTGTAGGCTCTTCAGAATAGCACTCCAGTCTACACTGTCCTTTCCTGGAGGTGCTGGCTGTTTTTGTGTTAACAGGCAGGGAACAAGGCTCCTAATTCAGTCTGTGTTGCTGTCACTGAGCACAGCTATTATAAACATGGAAATTTGCTCTGGTGGGCGTGGCTGTTAGAACAGGAAAGGGAGGGGGGTGGGGAAAAATGGAGATTTAAAATAAAAAAAAAACCCTCTTAAAAATAAAAAAATATGAAAGCATTCAAAATCAGTGACCAGAACTGCTAGCTAAATGACCATATCCTAGTTTAAACATTTTTCCTTGGAAAAAAATGTACTTCTCCTAACGGAGTATTTGCTTCCCTACCTCTTCCCCCGTTTTAGAGTTGCTTGCAGCTAATGTTGGGGCAATATGGGCCAAACCACGTGCACAGTGTGTGTGCACTGACTCACCTGACTGAGCCCATGAGGCTTTACTCTATGCCTTCACACTCGGCTCTAAGCAACTGCTCTGTAGGGCCATAAAAATACTGTCAATACCAATAGAAAGAAGTAGAGGAAAAACAAAACCCAAACATGTGTAACTTAGTTTAAAAAACAAAATACCCTGCAAAGGTTTTCTGCCTGTTGTTTTCAGCCTGGGTTTCCATTTGCTTTTCCCAAATGAGGTACTGATGAGATGTATTTAACTGTTACAGGTTCCTGGAGTTTCCTTTTAGGACCAAGACTAGAATTCAGCACCTCTTTACCATAAGATAGGAGGGGCGTGACTGCAATGAAGGAACTAGACTGAAGTGCACCTAAACACTCAGGCCTAGGAAATTACACCGAGAACACAACTCCCACCCCCCACCCCCACCCCAGCGTTGGATGAAGCCAATTATTTCTCTGGTTAAACCAAACAAATCTCAGGAAATTCAACCGAAACTTATCTCTGGGACAGAACATGGGAGACAAGGGTTAATCCTCAGGACTGCATTTCAGTCCATTAGAGAAATGTTTATGGCATGAAGTACTGTGTAAGGAATACACGACAATATACATTAGGATCTTTACAATATTAAATGCATAATATACAATTCTACAGGTATCTTACAGAGGAAGGTGAATGGTGTGCCATCTGTTCAGATATGGCAGGACGGGGTAGCTTTTTCCATCAGTGAGTGTATAAAGTGTCACACTATATAAAATCAAAGAAGGAACAGCTTAGCTTGACAGCCCCCCAAACACCAGACAAGCCTGGCTCAGTACCTGTTTGCACAAGGGAGGGAACAGGCCCCCAGTGGGCTCATTTGTTTCTGTTCTGGGTCTATGTTTCTGTCAAATTCACTGTCTGGACTGAGGGGCCCCAGATCACCAGAAGAGCTCAGTCCCTCTCCTTAATGACCATGTTTGTCTAAGAACAGTTTAATTAAAATTCAGTGTCTACAACAGGATTCTATAAATTAATGTGGGAGAAACTAAATTGTGATTAGCGCACGAATTAGTGACTGAGGCCCCCAATCATGCCACACAGCAATGAGCAGGATTTCACAGAACGCTATTTATAGGCTGCCACCTGCAAACACAGTGCTGTCTCCTGAGTTACAGAAGCGGCTGCTGCTTAAGTCAGAAGAGATGATAACTGTTTTCATTAAAGAAACATTGGAGGGGCCAAATGAAAGTGGTGGGGACAGACCTTCCCTTAAGAGACAGACACACAGCACAAGGGCAAGTATGCCATCAGTATTTCAAAAATACTTTTAAATTAACAGAGAAAGAAGAAACAAAGATGCATCCCATCCTGCAGTGCACGAGCATAAAGGGTGGCTTTTTCCTAAAGCTCCAGACAGAGCATGTGCTGACCTCCCTCCCTCACCCCCTGCAGGGGCACCAGGACCTGAGATGCCTGCACATAGAACAAAGTGGGGGAGTGGGGGAGACAGGGCTGGCATCTTCCTTGGTCTGCTTTGCTAATACGAAAGCTTCCATACTTTGGCCTTGGTTTTTGGGGTCCTGTCCTGGGGTTGGGGCTGCTCTCAAGGTGGATCTTACTTTCGAGAATAGGCCGCAATTAGTCACACTGATAAGTTTCCTTTTTTTAAAAGTATTGAGCACCAGATAAATATGCATCGGTCCTTGTCTGTTTCTCCAACCTCGGCAGAGAAGCCACTTTCATTTTAAATATTGTAGAAAAATAAGCCATTTACTAGCATGAACAATCACAGACGTCAGACACACGCATGGAGATGTGGAGCACGTCTGGCGAGACGTGATGCCTCAGATGAGGCAACATCCAGCACAGTGTCACACTGGCCTCAGCCCCTCCCAGGGCCTTCGGCACCAGGTCAGGAGGGGGGTTGGGTGTTCCGGAAGGCTGTTGACTGGGCTCCTTCCACACAGGTCCTGTCACTAAAGCCCAATCAAACACCCCTCCAGCACTGGCTAAGTGCTGGTTAGGTCCAATGCCACCGCTGCTGGGAGGAAACTGCATTCAATCACCTTCCCGCAAAGCCTCCTGTCCACCTGCCAGGCATGCTCTGGGGCTTTACAATGAGGACTGACTGGGTGACCGCCCCTAACTGGCCGAGGAGCTCCACACCCGAGTTGCTAACACTGTTTTCCGACCCCCTTGGTGCCTCCCATGGGGATGGCTCAGCACCAAGACGGCAATGGCAGGCCTAGTCCAGGGGTTCCTGTTTTATCCGGATTGTAGTTGGAGCCTGCTGAAGCCGTCTGTCCTGCCGGCACAGCATATATTCACTGAACTGGGAGGAATCCACCCCTCCCCCGCAGCTTGCGGCCACGCTAAAGCCTTTCTGAAACAGTCTCTCGAGGACCTGTGAAGTCAGAAACAACACAGAATCAGTACTGGCCCCCACAACCCAAGACCCAGAACCCAGCGCTGAGCCCTGGCACTCCAGCCTGGAAAGAAACTCCTGGCTCTGGAGAGACCCAAGAATGAAAGTTCTATGGTCAGAATTTAATACCTCATTTCAAATGACTACACCATGTGGAAACACAAGTTAATCAAACACACAAATCCTGCACTAGGCATTTCAAGACTTCTGGAGAGTGGCCCTGAATAGCAAGTAAGCTAATGTCCCTTTGGTGGGTTTTTCAGTGGGGAAAGCCTGTTGGGACAAGGACCTCTTCTTGCCTGTGGACACACCCTGGCCCTGAGGATCTCATGTGGCATGTGGTTAGACTGGGGTCTCTGAGCCCTTGGGATCGCAGTGTGTTGCTACGTTTGTCAGAGTTAGTGATTTCACAGGCTGTGGGCCCAGCAGGAAGGAGCTCTGGCTCCTTCCAAGAGGGTCCCGGTCTGTGTTCTGTGTTCCTAGGGTCTCTCTATGAGGAAGGCCTCATTCCTTGAGCTTATGACTCAGGAACTCTAGTAGGCAGCAAAGCTCTCACCCAGGGCTGGCCTTCTCACCCAGAATCCCTCTCCCCAAACCCTGCCTAACACTAGTCAGACACACAAATTCCAGACAGCTTTCTCTGAGTCTGAGCGGCTCATGAGCTGAGAGGGGAGGTCTGAAGACCCTGCCAAATAATTAAGGCTCATATAAACGATAGAGATGCTGCCCAGGGCTGCAATCTGCACTCAGCTGTGAGCTCCTGGAGCCGCAGCCGGCAAGGCCTGGAGGCAGGAGGAGTCCAGCTGGTGCCTGGGGCCGAGGGGGGAGAGATGTCCATGTGTCCAGACACTCAACTCTTCCCATGAGAGGCTTGGGGGAACCCAGGGCACCTCACCCCAGGCAATGACAGACGCTGGGACCAGGAGGGAGTTAAGATGGACAAGCAGAAGAAATGTTCATACCCCCTTTTTAGTGGACAAAAACTCTACTCTCTGCCCCCTTCTTCCCTAGCCTATTTTACTCTCCAGAAATGCCCCAGGCCTGGGCTCAGGGAAAGGACTATCTAACCAGGCACCAATTCAGCATCTTATCATCTTCTGACCTTAAAAAGCCCTGACCTATCCTATGAGATACAGACTTGGTCAGGATGACAGGAAGGAGGCAGGAGCCATGGGAAGCACATGGCACTGTATGGGCAGATGGGCAGACAGAGCTTTGCGGAAATCTAGACCCTTGGGTATTCTCCACAGGCAGGATACATGTCCCCTCAAGTGAGATTTTACACACACACACGTACACCCTCTGAGCTACTGGCTCCACAGAAATTTACAGACCTTTCCCAAGGCCTCTCTGGCCCCTAGGAATGGGTGAGGGGCTGAAGGCATCAGAAGGCATCTCAACCCTTACTAAGCAAACCTTCAAACCATCCTCCTCCCATGCCTCATCAGTGTCTCCATAGAGATAGGGAATAGAACTATGGTTTCATAGATCCAAAGAATTCCCAGATGAGAAATTCTCTCTACCAATTCAGGTCGCCACATTCCCTGAAATGTATAGTTAGAGAACTGCCTAAGGCATTGAAAGGTGAAGTGACCTGCCCAGGGCCACACACAGGCCAGTATGTGACTGAGGTAGGATTTGAACCCAGAACTTCCTGGCTCCATATAAATGAAAAAAAGATCTGGATGAAGTGACCTCAAAGAAACTGGTTTTACGTGCATATGTGTATCTATGTATGTACATGTTGGATGTAGGGATACATCAGATTAGTCTAAGAAATTCATCCCCATAAGATGTCCACACATGTCCATGAGATATGGCCGGCCTGTAGTGTCCAATAGTGGTTGCAAGTACAATGCTATGACTAAACTAAAGGCGGCAGGCTTTAGCTGACCTGTACGTGCTGAGCAGCACCGACCCACATGGCCTGAACCACAGGAAATCAGATGCCAGGACTTTCCCTGGCAGATCCCAAGCTGAGAAATTTCAACTGTGAGAAGAGCTGGTGTCTGATGCCCTGGGGGCAGTCTGGGGTTGTGAGCCCTCCCCAAGTTCATCTTTCTTTGATTCTCCTCCTCAGTTCCCTGGAAGTCCCTAGTCCTGGGCCTTAAGCCCCTCCAACCTTGCCCTTCCCAATTATAAAACCTTCACCTGCTTGTTCAGCCCAAGCCCATAGGAAAGCTCTGGTCATGATCAGAAGTGGTCCCCAGGATCTCCAGGGTAGGGGCCCGTATTCCATGTCCACGTCTAGCCCTTGTCCCACCCTCTTCCTGGTGCCTATTTAATTTTGAGCCTAACATGAGGCTCCAAGTGTCAAATGAAGCACATTTGGTTGAAAATACTTTGGGCCATTTTTATAAAACATCCTTTTGCCCACAAAAAAAAAAAAAGTGCAGAGATCAATTTTTTTTTTAAGTCCATCCCGCAGGCACCATCACTTAATTATGAGGGAGACATAAATTATGCATCGACACATTGTTGCCTTCTCTGGAAATGGCACAGAGGCTTCTGGGGTTTGGGCAACTCAGTCTCTATCTGTGTCTGCCTCTCTGTCATCTACCTCTCTGTCTCTTGCCTTTCTTTCTCGGTCTTTCACCAGGTCTATATGGGAATGAACGGAACCCCAAGGCATATTATTCAGAAACCCTAACCCTATTTCCTGGCAAGGCTGGGTTGTGGGGAGAGGGAGGGAGAAGGATGGGAAGGAGCCTTTTTGGTCAGTTTATATCAAGATGGCCTTGGGGAAGGAAATGCATAGTCACTAGGGGCCAAACAGGGGCACAGAAAGCTAGTAGCAATGCCCAGAAGGCTAAGCGTGTGGTCACCAGCAGAACATGTGGCCAGTGACAGGGTGAGTGGCTATTAGCAGGCATGAGGTCAATGCAAGATGTGTGCCCTGGGCCCTCACCTGTACGGAGTTGAGCCGACAATAGCCATTCAGCGGGAAGCGGATGACGTGTGTGGGGTCCTGGTTCCACCCAGCATTGACAGAGTTGCACATGACATCACCGGTCTCCGGGAAGACTTCCTCAATAAGTGCCTTCTCCCCACTGAGGGCAATGCGCTCGCCAAGGTCAGGTGTCACACGAACCACAAGGCATTCACAGGCCTGGCCACGGCGCCGCTGCTCCTGTTCCTGCTTCCAGCGGTCTAGCTCCCTTACCATCGGCTGCAGCTGGTAGTAACGTGCCTCTTCATATAGGAGGCTGAAGTCCTGTGGACCAGTTGGGGAGTGGGGAGGACGTGCCAGGGAGCAGAAGGATATGAATTGTCATATTCTAATCTTCACCTCAATCCTAAGATCACTGAGGGGCTTCTGGGATACCTCCCTCCCCAGAGGCAGACAGGAAGGACGCCCAAACCCTATTTTACAGATAGAGAAACTGAGGCCCAGGTATTAAATGTTATTTGCCCACATCAGGTCAGCAGGAGACCTAGGGTAGACCTTGTGTTCTGACCCATGGAAGACTGATGGGCGAGGGGGAGAGGAACATAATCTCTGTGTTTGCCTGGGACCTAGCTCCTTGACGATGAGCCGGCTCTGTGCTAGGCCTTTATTTGCAATGGGAAGAGCACTGGATGAAGTGGCCTCTTAGGTTCTTTCAGTCTTGGTGCTCTTAATTTGTGTCTGAAAGTTAGGCCCCAGACTTTGGGCTATGTCCTCAGGACCTGGATACTGGGGGTTGGGGGTGCTATACTTCCAGAGGACAGGAATCAGCCAAAGCCTCAAGACTACTCACATCCTTCTGAAGTCCCCTGACTATACACACCTTCCTAGAAGCCCCTGACTGTTCACACTTGCCACAGGCCCCTGATCACACAGAAGTCTTCACCTAAGTGGGTCCTTTCACTGATGGGGCTCTGGCCCCACAGCAGTCTCTCCTTGGGTAGGCAAGAGCTTTACATAATTTAAAGATGGTATACTTTGGATTGTGATCCTTCCTCCCAAATAACCTGGGACTTCATGCCTAGGACAAGCTTGAGGCTACTGCCACTCCCAGGGCCACCTAATTGTGAGGACACCCTGATAAACAAATAAGCTACAAATATGAGAAAATAGAATTAGTTTAGAAAAACCAATTTAGCCTTTGGCCTCATCGTTTAACTTTTTATGGTATCCATGACAACCAGTGGACCATTTATTAAATCACAGCATCCCTGTATTATCCTGTGTCAGTGGGGAACATGATGGAGTTGCCTGTGCACAGGTCAGGAGCCAGCCTTCACCCAGGCATGCAGTAACCCCAGCCAACACCCACCCACCTCACCTTGAAGTCATCTGGCAGGAGGAGTTTGGACGTCCGCAGGAAGCTAAGGACATATCTGAATATTTCCCCATCTCGATCAATGAAATAATGTTGCTTCAGACTGTCTAGTACGATGGGCTCTGTGCCATTGAATAGACGACTTATCCTGAGATGGAAAAAGGAAAGAAACGTGGTTGGAAAGGAAGAAACCAGAACGCATGAACTAGACCCCATGATTTGAGCTATGAAACTGGTAGGTCTGAAGATACTGAAGATTAAGACTTGAAAGGGACCTTCGAAGTCATCTAGCCCAACCTGCTTCATTTTACAGAAAGGGAAACTGAGGCCTAGAAGGAACATTTGCTCAAGTAAGTGACAAGAGTTGGGTTTAAACCCAGGTTCTCCAATTCCAAATCCAGTGTTCTTCCTACTATGCAATCCTGCTTCCCAAGGTCTTGGGTGACTCTACTTTGGAGGAGGATATAATGGGATGCAGGAATGGGAGCAGTCCCCCACCTCCCAATAGACACACTCAATCAGACTCATAATATACACATAAAGGAGGCTGAAGGATGTGATGGTGACAGAAAGGTTGGCATGAAGGCGGGTGAGGTGCAGCATACCTGAGGATGCTCAGAACACGACTGCCAAAACAGAGAAATCGGAGATTACCTGCCACACTAATGGGTTAATTGTTCTCCTTAGGGAGAAATGTCTCTGGCTCCAATTGGAAGGAGTCAGTGTAGATACAAGGAAGAATTTCTTCTGCTCTGTTCTATTTGTGTAAAGGGGCAGTGACCAGACCTGTACACAGAGTCTAGGAGTAGAGGAGCATTTACTATTCCAAAGAGACTTCCAAGGCCCTCTTCTGAGGTATAAACCCAGAGAGCCCATAATGGTGCTTTGGGGAATTCTTTGACAGCTTTCACACCACTATCTCAGCCTCTAATTCTTTGGAGAAAATAGAGAAGGCTCAAGAGACATTAGATTTTAGGCAAATCCATTTTTAACAAAGTGAAAGTTGAAGTTGTAAGTCATCATTTGATACTAGCCTGGTGTGAGGCCAAAGCCTTTTTCCCCCCAACTCATAGCCTTAGAATAAAGCTGGCCACACTTTCTGGATGAAATACTAAAGTTCAATTTAGTAAAAAATAATTTTCTAAAACATCCACCAGTAAACCTTAGGAAACACCCATTTCAGGGTAGGGTAATACCTGGCTCTTATACAGGGTAATTTAACAAAATGACTAACTTTGGATTCAGAAGCCCCCAGTTAGATCCAAGATATGCCAAGATATGAGTGCTAGGTCTGCAACTAGAATTCTCCTTGTATCTCCCCCTGCTCTGTGTTGTGGACAGACAGGCCCCCTTCCCACTTCTTCGGCCAAGCTAGGTCCTAGTAGTACTCTGTGTGCCTATAGAAGTTGCCTTCACTTCTCCTTCAAGCCTAGCCAGCTTATCCTGGGGGAGAGAGAAGCCCTGCCAGGCATAAGGACAGACCGATGGACCACCAGCACTTCTGCTGTCACGAAGATGGCCTGTAAAGACGGGCTAAGCCAAACATGAGAAAGCAGACTCCCTGATGGGCAGAAAACTAAAGACTCATCTACTAAATGCATGTTCCTCAAGGGGCTTTAGCCTGCTTGTAAGGAGGCCTAGCTCCCCTATGCAATGGGAGAGATCCAGGTAACCAAAGGAAGTCTTTCTCATGCCTTATTTGCTCTTCTGGAATTATGTCCATGCATACACAGCCATTGCCTGTGGCTACTACCCCTTTACTCTGTGCATATTTTCTCCAAGTCTTTCTTGGGAGCCAATGCCATACTCCCCACAATGGTATAGGCAGAACAGGAGAACGAGGGATCTGGGCTCAGTCTTTTGCAGTGAAGGAGCTACGTGGGCTCAGTGTAGTGGCCTCAGTTCTGCCAGCAGTGAATGAGGGACCTTTGTTCAGTCCCTCTGTCTAGTGAAGGAAGGATCTCAGTTGTTCGCTTCCGCAGTGTTTGATTTAATCAGCCCCACGTTTCTGGGGAAATTACCAATGCCTCGATAAGACCCAAGGTTGCAGGGCTTGAACTTCCAAGGCTGGGGTGGCTAGGCTACACCTGGAGCTTGCAATAAGATTACACTTCTAAAACAATCTTTGGACAGATGCTTCTTATCCGAAGAATCTTAGGGAAGTCGGGAGAACCCACTGAAACCATGTAATTCAGATAGTAGAACCAAAGCTAGAGCCAAAAAAGGCCTCAGAAGCCAACTGGTCCAACCCCTTCATTTTACAGATGAGGAAACTGAGGCCAAGGTCACACAGGTAGTAATCATCAGAGATAGGATTTGAACTCGGGTCTTCTGAACTCTTGTTTCAATTCCTCTTTTCTTTACATGGGGGAAAAATGAAATCCAGGGAAAGGAAGTAAGTAGCCCATAGTCACATACACACTAGTGGCAGATCTGGGATTTGAGGCCAGTCTCCTGACTCTGGTCTCTACCACAGGGCTCCATCTCTGCTTAGGTACAGGGCGTCAGTCTCTCAAGAGTTAAGGCTCATTTGGGGGACTATTTGAGGACTGATAAGCTTGGAACAACACTGATTTTCTGGGTATTTCGGAATCAAAGCCCTAATCCTGTCAAGCCCTGCGTCCTGCTGACTGCAAATGGGGAGGAAGGCCTCCCAAGTATTTCATTGACTTACTGTGCTTATCAGGAATATGCACACCAGGTACTGGGCATGCCCTATCATCCCCCAAACAAGAATATCAAAGCCGGAGTGTGTAATGACTAATCAGGAGAAAATGGCTCAACCTTAGGAAACCTACCTCTCATTTATTGGTGTGTGCACTGATGGGGAAGGAGGTGATGGTGGTAAAAAGATAGTACCCTGGGCTAGTGATGCCAAAGTCATAGATTCTCCATCTCTAAATAATACCCAAGCTAACCCTTAACCCCAGCAACAGACTGACCCTAACAGAGGCCACTAGCCCTGATCTCATGCAGAACAGTGACCCTTATCCACCAGACTGTACCTTAACATTGGTAACATTCTAGAACCTGACCCTGGCTACAGAATGACCCTTAACAAGAACTTTTAGGCTTGGAAGGGACTTTAGAGGTCATCTAGTCCATTTTCCTCATTTTATAGACGAGGAAGCAGGCCCTAACCATTGCCACAGACTTGACTTCCTGCCAGCTTTCTTGTGAACAGATGAGTGTGGATGGCTCAGTGCAGCCCACAGGTAATGAGCTCACAGGTAATGAGGATGTTCTTGAGAGACACTGGGGATGTTCTCAAAAGAAAAGGGGACGCTACAGAAGGACATTAAGGATCTTATTGAGAAGCAGTGAGGACCTTCTGCAGGAACAATGGGGTTGTTATTGAGGGTAATGGAGAAATTGAAAAGAACAGTGAGGATGCCACAGAGAAGATAGTGAGGATACTATGTTGGGACGGTGTGGAAGCCACTGGTGGACACAGGTGGATTACAGGGGGCCAGAGTCATAACATGGAGTATGAGGCAGGGCTCTGCCTTTGTTTCATCATTGGCTACTCCTGGGACCTCTGGGGATCACCATTTGTCTTATGGGATGTAAAAGGCAGATGATCCACAGCCAACCTGCACTCAAACTATTGTCACCATGATAGCTTCTATGCACTGAAGAAAGAAGACCCCGAGCCCTCCCTGTAGGCCAGTGGAGTCTCCCTTAATCTCCTTCTTCAAAGCCAGCCAGATATCACTGATGGCCCCCACAAATCCCTTCTCCCTTAGTGGGTTTCACTGTTCCTTATTCCCCAATTCTCCAACATCATTGCTTTCTCTGACTCTATCTCACTGAACCTTCTTGGAAATCATTCTTTAAAACACACACACATAAGACATTGATTTTTTTTTAAAGAGTTGGGGCAAAAAGAATAAAAAAATTAATAATTGAGTAAGGATCAGGTTGAAGGAGATCTGAGGCTCTAAAGAGAATCTCAGGGAAGCCAATGTTTCTATAAAGACTCGGCTAAACCTTATCCTGAGTCCATGACTGTGAGAGCACACAGACTAATTATGTGACCAGGGTGCACAGTCGTGGCACGATGCACAGATTGGCCATACCACAGGAGCTGACAGCCCTCGAGTAGCACATGGACTAGTCTGCGGTCATGATAGCAATTTGGAAAGAATGCTAGATTTGGAGTCCGAGAAACTGGGTTCGAACCCCAGTTCCTCCACTTAGTACTCATGTGACAAGCAGCAAGGCCTCTCTTGTGACCTCCATTCCTTCATCGGTAAAGTGAGAAGGCTGGAATGGCATCTCTAGCTCCCCTTCTAGCCCTAAATCTATGTTCCTAATATGCCAAGATTCATTAATAAGCCATAAGGCTGGGTGAGGGTTTAAATTCTATTCACAAAACAGAAGCTGTAGGGAAGGGGCTGGTGGTTATCTGATCACCCTCTCTAAAACTGACCTGTTTAATGTGGGTTGAACTTTTCCTCAGTGGGCAGATTCTTGCCCCATGTCTCCTGACAACTGCCCCTGTCCTTTTACCAATCAGAAAAAAGAACCCAAGGTTGAACCTTAAGCCAGCCACATGTTCCTAACATCCTCAGTGTCACCATGGAGCAGAAATTCCCTCTTCCCTCTCTGTACCTTTGTGTAGGCTGGAACCCCCCCTCCCCAACCCCATGCCATCCCATATCACCACCACTATTTAGCATCCTTAACTTCCTTCAAAGCTCAGCACAGACACCACTTCCTACAGGAAGGTTCTTTTAATTCCCTCCCTTCAATTGCTAGTACCCTTCCCCTAAAAAATATTTTGTATTTACTTTTGTGTGGACATGCTGTTTCCCCTCCTAACTGAATATAAACTAGAGAGTAAAAATTGTGCAGTTTTGTCTTTGTACCCCTAGTGCAAGGAAGACAGGGGGCACTTAGTAAATGTTTAGGGAAGGAATGAATAAAGTCCAGATTAGTCACTGCGCCAGGGACACTAACAGGTAGGTGGACAGATAGACCGAAAGCCGTGCAGGATGGCAGACAGACAGACGGCAGGCAGGCAGGCAGGAAGGCAGATGGGCAGGTAGGGAGCTAGGCAAGCAAGCGGCACTCAGGGCATTTGGCTGAGCCCTTGGGCTGTGAGGCTCACGGAGGGGATGTCATACAAACGTGATCAGTGTGCCTCACGGCAGTGACATCACACCAGTGGGCAGGCAGCATTCGTGGAGGACGCATCAATTTGCAGCCACAGCTGCCCACATAAAAAGAAGCAGTTAAGAGGAAAAACACAATTTGCTATTCTAAGATTCCCCCACATGAAGGGAATGTGTACACATGGGACAAATGCATGTAGACAACCCAGAGATATGTCATGCTTGCACAGACATGCAGATTCCTACTACACTGACCAGAAGCTGTGTGGAGGCACATATGGGTCCCTTGTATGGAAACCCACAGATATGGACATGGGTACATCTATATATGTGGCTCCCTATCAAAGCAAACCACAGATCTGTGTGCATTCGTGTGCCCATGTGCATATGTGTGGATTCACATTCTGTGTGCCCACAGCTAAAACAGCATGTACCCTCTGCTACAGCCTCCTTGCCCATGTGGGACCAACTACATACCAAAAGTTGTTAGTTACTGAGCTGGCTGAGATTATAGAGCACGCTCCAAGAAAGGATTCTTAATAAAACACAGCAGATAAACAAGGACAATGGGACATCAGACCTTCGGGTACCAAAGGCTGAAGCCTTTTGAAAAACAGCAATAACCTGCCCCCCAAAGGCGACAAGCTTCTGCCATGCAGATGACCACAGGGCACAGAGAAGGAAGATGATAAGGATGTAATTCTGGGTTTCAAATCCAGGGTCACTGAGAGTGGGCATTCATCTGGCCTCATTCTCCTGCATTTAGGCTCAGAGCTTTCAGCCCTCTTCCTTGCAAAAGACTCTCCTTCTGTAGCCCTCCTTCAGCACAGAACTTGAAACTCTTTCCATTTCCCCTGACTACTCAGTTGTGATTACATCACAAATGCAGTTTTGCTATTCTCAGGGAAGCTATTCCACAGAGTATTGTGGGCAAAGGTTTTATTAATTTAACTCAAAAACGTCGTCAACTGATTAAGGGTTGATCTATCTAAAACAACTCGGGAATGCTGCAGACGGCAAAATTGAAATTAAATACTCAGACTCTGTCTCTCTTCACAGACATATCTCGCTATGTGTGTTGCCCTCACATGTTGCTTTACACAGATCCGTATCACCTCCCTCCATCGTCTGCTGACACAAGAGGACTATCACCCCACAGGTCAGTTATAAACGATTACCTATCTATACTTAGAGCTCCTCCACATCCAGCCAAGAAACACCCACTTTAGTCTAAGCGAGAAGCAGAACTGTTCCAAAGCCTTTCTGATCACCAACAAATGAGTCAACAATCCCCTGGGTTTCATCTCCAGCTGACTTATACTTTGATGGGTTACACCGTGGAAGTGTCTATTAAATATGCCTGTTCCTGGAAGTGTCAGCAGGGATTTCCTTAAAGCTGTAGGAACAGATGTGAGGCTCGTCACACAGCCGCTGTAGTGCCAATGCATGCCCTCTCATCTCCTCTGCAAATGTCCGTCCTCATCTGCTGTAAATTCTCCTCCACTGGGAGGAGATACTTCTGTGCAATCAGGCCTTCAGATCATCTTAATATACAAGTTTCCAAAGCAAGCCACTTGGCATTTGGGACATAAGTGAACAAATATTCCAGGTTAATTTTTTCCCCTTAAATTAAGTGATTCAAGCAATTTAAATGAACGTGACTCTCCTTCTACAGTCATTTCCATTTTGTGCCCAGACTTGGTACAGCTCTCAGTGATGCCCTGTCCAGGTACCAGAGTCAGTTCCATGCTCAGATAAAGCACACGGATCCTTATTGGCTCCCAGTGATGCCAAATGGGGCTACGGAAAGAATACTGGACTTGCTTACTTGTAAGGCCTAACCCCTCTGGGCTTCAGTTCCTTCGTCTGTAAAATGAGGGGGTTAGACTAGATCACTTCTAAGGTATTTTTCCAATTTTAGATTGATGAACCTATGATTCTCACCCTCAAAGCCACAGGTCTGATCTTCAACTTTAGGAATGGGCCTCCATGGACATTCTTGCTCCCATGGATAGGAAGAAAATCTCACCCCAGTGTAAGGCACTGTACTCCACTGGCACAGGAACCCAGGAAACATTTAATAGGAAAGTTTTGGACAAGAAAAGAAAATCCAACTTCACATACTGCCAAAAGTATGGGCCTAAGAAGAGGGATGGGCCAGAAATAGAAACTGCACCTAAAAGGATCTATTTATCTCTTCTCCAGAGAGGATGAGGATGATGATGAAAGCCAGCATTTATAAGGTTTGCAAAGTGTTTTACAAATATCATCTCATTTGATCCTCACAATAACCTTGAGAGGTAGGTGCTATTATTATTCCCACTTTACCGAAGAGTAAACTTAAGCAGTCAAAGGTGAAGTTACTTGCCCTGGTTCACACAGCTAATAAGTGAGACCACATTTGAACTCAGGTCTTCTGACTCCAGCTCTAGCACTCTATTGCACCACCTAGCTGCCTCCATAGATGATCCACAATCATTTATTTAAAATAGTTAAGAATATACGTTCTGGGGATGGGAGGTGACAATAGAGAAGGTGACTCACCAGAGCATTCCCAAATGGCCCCATCAAAGACAGACCAAAGCAGATGAACCCAAGGGATAGTTCTGACATTTCCTCATCTGTCATCATGGTTTCCCCATTAGCCAGCCCTGCTCTCTGAGATGATGCCAGAGACACTGCACTAGGGCCTCAGTGACCCACCTCATTTCCCTGCTGAGATATCATGAGGTATCTGCTTTTGACTCTTCCATCACAATCATTTCTAGCAAGTAAATGTCTAACAAAAGGAAGAAACTTGGTTGAAGTTCCCCAAAGGGTTAAAATCTGCAGTGGGATGAAATGACCTTTGACAGCTCTGTAATTAGCATGTTTGACAAAAAAGCATACACAATGGTCAGGAAAGTTCAAGGCTGCTCAGTGGGTGCTGGAAGCACAAGCTGCTCAGAGGAGTGTGTGGTTGGCCACCCAGGGCCAGAAAAGAACAACAGTGCAACTGAACAGCCACAGCTATGATCAACAGAGACTTCCCCCACAGGATTCGGCCATGACGGCAGGTGCCACAGAACCCATCCGTTTGGATGCAGGGCTGCTTTCTAAAAACAAAACTTTGTTCCCATAGAACTATCTTTCCTCATGCCGACAACCTGAGAGTCTGTGCCACCAGGTGCTTGAAACACTGTCTCCTACAACATATAGGAATGAGGGGAAAAAAATGACCTATCTGAGCTCCCAGGACACAGCCATCCCAAAACGATGTCCTCGAGCCCAGGCAGACACAATATATGGAAGAACCCATCACCAGGCACATGGTGATAAAGAAAGGTCTTCCTTCACTTGATGCCAGCCAGGTATATGGCAAAAGAAAGAAGCAAGGTCTTCCTTACCTCGAGTCCGGATACTTGGTGAGGGTAGCCAGACTGCTGGTGTACATGTGTCCCCCTACGTCGATATGCACGGGAGCGTTGGACTTGGTGAGCTGAGCTGGGAGCGGGATTCCCTGAGCTGCCAGGGGAGAGACTGGGGACCGTGTGAGAGAGAGTCGGGACATGCTTCTTCTCTCCTACGAATGCAAACAAAACAACAGAACAGTTTTTCTTTAGTGTAGCTGCGGATTTCCTTTATTTCTGGTGTGATCACAGATCTAATCAGATCACTTTTGCATCTGCCTGATCACATATTCAGCTGACAAATTATTGCCACCACTGTAATTAAGTGTATTTGCATCATTTTCTTCAAAGTACCAGAGGCTAAGAGAAAGATGCTTATTAGCAATAAGAAATCAAGAAAAAAAAATTTTTCAAGGTGTCAGCCTCCAGGGGCATAAAACAAACTGCAAAATCCTAATTAAAGGTCGCGGGCTTATGTGTTAGATGTGAAATATCCCCTGACAAACGAATCACCAATTTGTGAATTGGGATTCAGGGGGTTTTGCAAGTTTGTCTCAGTAACGAGACACCTCTAAATTAGTGACTTCCTCAGCACCTAAGGCAGTGAGTTTATATATGTAGTAAATTTCACATCAAACTAGGAGCATTTTTGTTTTAAAAATATATAATAGGCATGCCAGATCAATACCTATCATTTGGGTTTCACCACTGAATGAAAGAAAAGAAAGCGTAGAGTCCTGGGCAGGAGGGAATCTTGTGCTTCTGCTGAGACAAGAGCTAGAAAGGACCAGGCATCTTCCTGCTCTCACCACCTTCATCAGAACTGACATTGGAAATGAGAAATCATCATACCCAATCTCACTGAGTATCTATCCTTCCATATACTTCCAAGAATATCTGTGGCAAATTCCAATAAAATAGAAAGGTAATTGACTGGTCTGCAACCATAAAATGGAGCTCTGTCTTTAGAAAGTCAGCTTCAATTTTGTGGAAATCCGGACACTTGGATTCCCTACTACTGGAAAGTCTTTCCTCCCACCCAGTGCAGTCCCAGCATTGCTTCTCCTCCCATTCCCCCTGCCTACCACCTCCCCAGGTATCTGAAATGAAAGAGAGCCGATCCTCCCCTTCATCAGATTCCTACAAATATTTCCTTCCCCACTGCAGATTATCACTTACACAACACGCAATAGGATCAGTCACAGAGAACATATGAGCCAAGGTACTCCTCTGCTTCACACAATACTAGATCCATCACAGGCAACATACATGTATATGTTTTAGAGTTTCATGTCTATCACGTCTGTTACCAACTGTAATGCAACATATGCTCAGCATTATCATTATAAAACATTTCAGAGCCTAATCTAATTTTCCTGGTATTTTGTTTTGCAGTCATGATCCCAAGTATGGGCTTTCTTACATCAGCAAAGGGCTTTACAGACCACAGCACACGGTTAATATCTACTTTTACCAACTGGCTTTCCCACCACTCAGTAAAGCTCAAGCTGTCACCTGGAATCTGGTTGTCCATCTCATTGGGACAGACTTTTCTCAGCACGCTACCCATCCAAACCTCTTAGCTATCCCACCAGGAGACAAGACCCTGCACAGAAGAAAAGCCTCACGTGGGGCCCTTTAATGAGGTGCAATAGCAGCTGAGAAAACGTGACTTTTGTCCATGGAAAAGCTCCCCCCCCCCCTTTCCCAATGACAGCACAAGTCTTCTCCCCTCATATAGAGGGGGAGATCAGAACAGCCTCCAGCACCAAGCCATCAGCAACACCAAATCTAAATCCACTGTCTTAGACTTCAGCTCACTGGCCTCTCCCACAGGGGCACCCTAAGGCAGAAGGTACAAAGCTTGCCTCTCTCCAGCAAGGTCACAGTCAAGAGGTGGAGGACATTTATAAACAGGTCCCATTAAACACAGGAGTACTAGCTTAAAGCATAGACATGGCAAACAGCATAATGAAAACAACAGTTGCCTGGGAAGGCATCCCTGCCAGTGTGGCTGGCCTTTCTTTTCTGTGCCCCATATCCTCACCACTGCCACCCCCATTTTGAGTAGGGAGTCTATGTGGCCCTGAGGAGATGCTGTTTATTATTACTAATGACACTGTAGGCACACACTGTATTCACACACATATATACACACCACACATCTGTTCTAGCTTTAGTAAAAATAAAACCCTGCTTGCCTTCTGACATACCTATCAGGGTCAGCTTATACATGGCTTTTTTTTTTTTTTAAATTCTGAAAGGACTGGACAAATATGATTCAAGGAACCCGTGGGGACTAACTTCCTTGCTAACAGTTTGACATCTAAAAGTGATAACCCTGATATTCTACAGCCAGTTTTAACATATAGAATGGGGGTCCACTGGCAGGTGGCTGGGCATATTCAAGGAATGCCTCTCTGCTGTGATTTGGCTTCACGTTTGTGCCAGAAGATCTCTCAGATTTGGAGGTTGTAGCATTGAGGACCTGTGCATACGGCACACAGATTTAATTTATGGGGCTCACTGGAGGGTCTTATTCCCAGCTCTAGCTATACCTATAGACCACCAGGTCTCCAGAAAGGGGAAAAAACTAAGAAACTAAAATAGCTCCCATTGGGGGTGGAGCATTCTGACTTAGCCTAGGCCAGGGCTTTTAAATTACAGGGGAAAGTAACGTAAAAAGAAAGCTTTTATTTTATATTGCAATTTAAGTCATTACTATAGTTCCATAAAAGTATTTGTGTCAACTAAGTAGCTCCCAGACTTTGCCTGCATTCAGCAAACATGAGCTAACATTAAAATTTAAATATGACGGGCCTCCCATCACAAAACTTTTTCAAACCCAATTTTTCACTCCTCCGTTTCCAACTCACACACAATTCCCTGGTTGCTGCTAACCAGCATCTTTACGCACAACCCAGAAATTAACAGAGCTCCCTCCTGCATGAGGGTTCAAGACCTCCTGGTCTCTAAGACCCACCTTTAATTCAAAAGATTTAAAGTAGGTGCCCAAAAGACAAATAAAAGTTGACTGAGAAATTGCCACTGCCCACAGGCCTGCCCTTGTTCCAGCAGCAACATCATCCCATCCCAGAGAACGAGGCAGCAAGTCTCAACAGAAACAGTCCCTGCCCACAGCAGGCAAACTCGGTAGGACCTAATTTCCATAGCCTCTGCCTTTTCTTTTCCCCAACCTCAAACAAACACCTGATCACTGCACACCTGGCCACTACACATCTGATCACTGCATGCCCCACCATTGGGCATGCAATGATGGCTGCGTGCAGTCACTCTTTATGACAATCATTATACACCTGGTCACCACACAACCACCACTACACAGAGATTGACTTACACCATCATCCCCCACCCCATCACTCCAGTCCACCTTCACTGTACATTCCAGTCACTCCACATGCCATTATTGACATCCCAAACACCACCATCATTGCACACCAAGATCTTCTGCCCCAGCTTCTCTTCTTGCCTTTCCAAGCCGGCTGCCTAAGTACTGCTTGTAAAAGCGATTTGCCCATGCAAAGGGAAATAATCAGAATGCCACGCTCATTTACACACAAAATGAGTTTGTGTCCCATTGTGTTCACAGTTGTTCAGCTCTCTAGGGGTGATTAAACTCGCTGTGCGGCTCCAGCTTGAGATGATTTCACTGAATCGTTTCTCCGTGAAGTTGCTTCTTTGCGAAGCTGTTATTTTAACCATAAAAGGTAAACAGAAGGCAGTTGTAAGAGCGCCATTGAGCTCGCTGGCTGGCTTGCTCACTCAGAGCCCAGGGCTAGGCGCCTTGGGCGGGAATGCTGAAAGACTGCAGAATTTTCCAGGGTGTGGGCTCCTGCTCCAGGCTTGCAGCAACCCGGCTCCTTTAATGCATACTCCTCAGATACTGTTCAGATCCCACTCACAGCAAGGCTTTCAAAGTCTCAGAACTTTGGGGAGATGCAGGTTTCACCTGGGCTCACTGCCCAGGGCTATGGGAACCACTCCCAGTTGCTGTTGGGGCAACAAGGAGACACAGCCAGCCTGGGGCCCAAACCAGAGCAGGCCAGGCAGATCGAGAGGCTCAAGGCCCAGCTGGGAGAGCAAAAAAGAAGGGAGGGAGAAAAAGAAAGGCCCAGGGCTCAGCCAAAGAATAAGATAGAAGCCCAGGTCCTGGCCCAACGAAGGGTTAAAGGTGTCAAAAGAAGAAAACTAGAAAGGTGGGGGGAGGGCACTGGAGAGTGGAGTAGAAGGGGGATGAAGAGACAAAGTTAAATCAAGGAGCAGACACTTAGAGAGGCTGCAGATGGGAAACTCTCCTAATTAAGGATGTAAAAGCGCTTTGTTCCCAAAGTTTATTGTTGCCAGGATAAAAAAATTAATTGAAACTAATGCTGTTATTCACTCGTGCAGTTTAATTCCTTCATGCGAATTTAAGACATAAAGAAAACTGCAGGTTTCAGGATCCGCCTCCCCAGCCCTAGAGGGTGGGTGGGGGAAGGGTACCTCTGGCTGGGCAGCCTCCGCCTGTGTGCATGCATGTACTTGCCTATGTATACATATGCCAGTACACATGTCTGTGTACACATCTGTGCACGTGTGCATGTGCCAGTGCATGGATATGCATCTGTGCCTACTTGTGTCTGTAGGTGTATACAAATGTACCTGTACCTAAATATCTGTGACCCTATGTCCAAGTTGCATAGGTGCCCCTCAGCCTGTGGCACAAGCACAGGGCTCGGTCTGTGTCCTCGTCCTTGGTAGGATCAGACCTCTGCTCTCCAGTTTTCCTGTCCCACATCCCTAAATCCTAAAGAGAGATAACCCTGTCTCCAGGGGCTCTCCTCCCAACTTCTCCCGCTGCCCCATTTCGGCCACGAGGCTGGGTGTGTGGGGCGGGATCTGTCCCGGCACAAGCACAGACTTTACTTTTAATCCCTCCCGCATCAGTTTGGGCGCCAAACGCATGCCAAGTGTCTCCGCTCGGAGCTGGGCCCTGCGTGTGGTCACTCCCGACTGCCGGCTCACACCGGCCCCCGACTGCCGGGAACTTTTTTGAGGGGGAGGGGAAGTGCAGTTGGTTATATATCAAACTCCAGCGTGCCCCCAGAAGACTTAAACCACCTAGGCGCCCCTGAGTTCAGCCCCACGTGGGTACGTCTTTTCTGGCTCCACTAAAGGCCAATCCTCACCCCCTCCCCCCAACTCCCCACTGGCTACGGTCAATCCAATTGTGCCGTGGGTCCCAGGAGGAAGGATTAACATACTCCTAGGTCCCGCATAGCATGCGGGCTAGTATAAGAACCTAAGGGGACGCCCAGGGGCTCGGCCACGCTCAATGCCTCCTCCTCAGAGGCACCCCCATCCCCTTTGTGCGGCCGCAGGACCCACACCATGGCGGGTGCCCCATGTAGGACTCCGGCGCGCTCAAGCCCCTTGGGAAAGGGGGCACAAGCATTAGCCTCCAAGTGGCAGTCGCCATGTCCCCGCCCCCTGGGAAGGACCCCAGACCCTCGGATCCCCTTGCCTTCACCATCGTCTCCCGCTGGTCCGGACAAAAGCTGCGGATCGCGCGCCCCTGCCCTCCCCAAGCCCAGGCCGTCTCAGCGCCTAGCGCCCCCTGCCCTTTCCCGGATCCACTCACCGCGGGGAGTCGTCTCCTTGGCTCGGCGGCCCCTGGCCTTCCTCGGCCCCACAACGCGCAGCAACCCCCACGCTAGCCAGCCTCACTCAGAGCCTCCCGCCCTCCCCTGGGCGCGGCCAGGAAAGGGGCCACGGATCGGGCGGGGGGCGACCAAGTGTCCGGCCCTGCGGGCCAGGGTTGGAGGGGGGCCCGGGATCTGCATCTGGGGCCTCGGCGCCTTTAACGCCCCCCCCCACCCCTGCCCGTCCCTTAGTCTCCGAAGCGACTTTGTCCGAGTTGGGGAAGATACTCTCCGAAAAGAGGGCGCGCAGTCCCGAGCTCCGCGCGGAACCTCCGCGCCCTGATCCTTACCTTGGACATGGGAGACGCGGCGGCAGCGGCGGCGGCGGCGCGGTCACGGGCCCCCCGGCCCTGGCCCCCGCCCGCCTCCTCCCGCCCGCGGCTCGGGGTCTCGTGTGTCCGGGCCGCTTGGGCGCGCTTCTTTTCTCTGGTTTTTGGCCCCCCGGGTCGGTTCGGTCTCGTCCTCTAGTTACTTTCGTCCGAGCCCCCCCCCCCCTTCCTCCCCCTCCCCTTCCTCTTCTTCCTCTCCCTCCTCCTCCTCTTCTTCTCCGGCCTCCTCCTCCTCCTCCTCGCCTGCCTCCTCCCCCTCCTCCTTCTCTTCCTCTTCCCTCCCCCTCAGTCTCTCCCCCTTGCTCCCCAGCTTCTTTCCCCTCGCTCCCCGTCTCACTCTCCGTCTCTCTCTCTCTGATTGCTATTGAAGAAGGGGGGAAAAAACCCCAAAACAAGACCCTTTAAAATCGAAACCCGCCGAGACTGTGCTCTGAAGAGAAAGGGCAGTAATCCGTCTCTAAATACAGGAGTGAAACACACACACACACACACACACACACACACACACGCGCGCGCGCGCGACTTCTAGCTCGGGGCTTGGCAGACGCCTTCGGGGCAGAGGATTAGAGCTACAATTAGCTCAGCCCTGCTCCCGCCGCGGCTAATTTCTCGATAAAAATGTGATATTTTCCCTTTTTTACTGGGAAAACCAAAGGAGCCTCACCTCTTTCTCTCTCTTTAAAAATAAACCCAATTGGAGACCCTCCCTCTTCCCTCTTCTCCTCCCTCTCCCTGGTGCCCGCGAGAAATCCCCCCTACTGATGACAGGATGCTCTCTGTTCCTGTCCCTATCTTTCTTTCCTTGCCCCTCTCCTGCTCTTACCCCCTGTCTGTTCCTGCTTCTTTCACGGTATCGTTTTCTATCTTAGTCCTCAGCCCTATCTCTGGCCCTGGACCTGGCTCTGTTTCAGGCTTCCTTCT